CATGCAAAATTTCGCATGGATCGGGCCATAAATGCGATCTGTATATGATATCCTGATATCCCAACTACTTAGTTTTGTTAGCTGTAGAAATATTACCAAATGTTTAATTCAAAATGAAAATATGCCAAAAATATGACAAAATTGAAAAATTATGAGAAAATATTACAAAATCAATATTTTCATCTTTAGAGAGATATTTTTATGCGATTTTTTAGACGTTTTTTCTTTCCTGTCAAGAGGCCATTCTGAATTAATGAGAACTGTCGAAATCAGTTCAGCCGTTCTCGACATATAAGAGAATTTTCAAGCATATCTCCTTTAATAGACATATATATCGCACATATTTTGCTATATATCCGATTTGTTGGATAATAACATCAATGTAAAGGTCAGAAGTAACCTTGTGATGGCTTTGTGATTTCACCGGGATTTAAAATATTCACGGTTTAATGAAAAATTTTGATTTTTTTCAACACAAAAGATATGGTCTATTTTACCCGCTAAATATTATCCGATGACCACCCAAATTGGTAGGCTTCTTCCCCGCCCTAAACTCTAGGGCGAAATTCTTCGTCGATTGGTCTATAATTGCGACCTGTATAGCTACTGCAAAATCCGACATTTTTTCAGTATTTGGTCCATTTAAACCCCTAAATATTATGCGATCATCTCCAAAAGAAATAGGCTTCTATTCTGACCCTAACCCCATCTTCGTGCAAAATTTCGTAAAGATCGGGCCATAATTGCGACCTGTAGCGTGATTACAAATTAACATGGACAGACGAGCACACGGACGGACGGACATACATAGCTAGATCGACTCAGCTCGGCGAACTAGGAAGATCCTATATGGAAACCAATATTTCGAGGTGTTACATAAATTCTGGCCCAATCAAACTTATAATACCCCCAACATATAGTGTTGTAGGGTATAAAAACATGGAACGATGTGAGTACCCAGTGTAGTCAACACTGCGTTCATTTTTATACCCTACACCACATAGTGGTAAGGGTATTATGTCTTTGTGCATTTGTTTGTAACATGGAGAAGGAAACGAGATAGACCCATAGTTACTTTTGAGAACCTTCATAGAATCACTTTCTGAGTCGATTTATGCATGTCCGTCCGTCTGTCCGTCCGTCCGTCCGTCCGTCCGTCCGTCCGTCCGTCCGTCCGTCCGTCCGTCCGTCCGTCCGTCTGTCCATGTATTCTTGTGAACAAAATGCAGGTCGCATTTATTATCCGATTGAGATGAAATTTTCCAAACAATATTTTTTTGGCCCAAGGACGAACCCTATTGAAATTGGTGAGAATCGGATCAAATTTAGATATAGCTCCCATATATATCTTCATCCGATTTCGGGTTAAATGAGCACCAAATGGCCAATATCAGCCCAAATGGCCCGAATTTTGGCACATGTGACCGAGATTAGCCTTAAAGTAAATACAACAAATTTGGAGAAAATCGGTTCAGATATAGCTATAGCTCCCATATATATCTTTCATCCGATTTGATCTTTAAGTCCCTCACATTCCTACTATGCACTCCACAACCGTGATATTTGGTACCAGGTATTAGATGGAGTACAGAAATAGCTGTTTTAAATTTTATCGAAATCGGTTCAGATTTGGATATAGCTCCCATATATATCTTCATCCGATTTCGGGTTAATTGACCACCAAATGGTCAATATCAGCCCAAATGGCCCGAATTTTGGCACATGTGACCGAGATTAGCCTTAAAGTAAATACAACAAATTTGGAGAAAATCGGTTCAGATTTGGATATAGCTCCCATATATATCTTCATCCGATTTCGGGTTAATTGTGCTCCAAATGGCCGATATAAGTCCAAATGGACTGAATTTTAGTACATCGGACCAAATTCAGCCTAGAAGTAAATATATGAAATTTAGTGAAAATCGGTTCAGATATAGATATAGCAACCATATATATGTTTCATCCGATTTAGTGTTTTAGTCCCTTACATTCGTAATGTTCACTCCACAACCGTGATATTTGGTACCAGGTATTAGATGGAGCACAGCAATAGCTGTTTTAAATTTTATCGAAATCGGTTCAGATTTGGATATAGCTCCCATATATATCTTCATCCGATTTCGGGTTATTGACCACCAAATGGCCGTAATAGCATCAATTTTGGCAAATCCGACCGAAACCAGCTTAGAAGCAAGTACACCAATTTTAGTAAAAATCGGTTCAGATATAGCTATAGCTCCCATATATATGTTTCACCCGATTTCGTCTTTAAATCCCTCACATTCATAATATGCACACCACAGAAATGATATTTGGTACCAGTTATCAGATAAAGCCCAAAAATAGTTGATTTTAATTGTATTAAAATCTGTTCCGATTTGGATATGCCTCCTATATATATCTTCATCCGATTTCGTGTTAATTGTGCATCAAATGGCCAATATCAGCCCAAATGGCATGAATTTTGGCAAATCCGACCGAAACCAGCCTATAAGCAAGTACACACATTTTAGTAAAAATCGGTTCAGATATAGCTCTAGCTCCATATATATGTTTCATCCGATTTGCTCTTTAAGTCCCTTACATTCGTAATATACTCTTCACAGGAATGATATTTGGTACCAGATATCAGATAAAGCCCAAAAATAGTCGATTTTGATTTTATAAAAATCTGTTCAGATTTGGATATAGTATAGCATAGCATACTCTTCAAAGGAATGATATTTGGTACCAGATATCAGATAAAGCCCAAAAGTAGTCGATTTTAATTTTCTCAAAATCTGTTCAGATTTGGATATAGCACCCATATGTATCTTCATTCGATTTCGAGTTAATTGTGCAACAAATGGCCAATATCAACCGAAATGGCATGAATTTTGGCATATCTGGCCAAATTCAGCCTAGAGGCAAGGACACCAATTTTAGTAAAAGTCGTTTCAGATATAGCTATAGCTCACAAATATATCTTCATCCGATTTCGGATTAAATGTGCAGCAAATGGCTAATATTGGTACATCAAATTTAGTGAAAATCGGTCGGATACAGCTATAGCTCCTATATATACCTTTCATCCGATTTGTACTTTAAGTCCCTCAAATTCGAAAAATGTAAGATACAAGAATAATATTTGGTATCAGATGCAGCCAAGAAATATCTTCTTTTTCAGTTTTACAAATATCGGTTCAGATTTGGATATATCTCCTATATATATCTTCATCCAATTTCGTGTTGATTGCGCACCAAATGTCCAATATCAGCCCAAATGTCCTGGGTTTTGGCAAATCTGACCGAATTCAGCCTAGAATCAAATACATCAAACTTGGTGAAAATCGGTTCAGATATAGCTATAGTTCGTAAAATGCACGATAGAATTAGATAGATTTTGATTTTGTACCAAATATCTCATAGAGCTCTGAAATGCTCTGTATAAACCTTTTTACGAGAGCTCTACTAAATATGCATAGTGGTGTAGGGTATCATATAGTCGGCCCCGCCCGACTTTTGAGCTTTCCTTACTGGTTATATTTGTACTAGCTGAACACGGCGCGCTTCGCTATTCTTTTCGCTTTTATATACAATCAAAATTTTATATACACATTCATAGTGAATTAAAAAAACGTATTTATTGCAATGAAAAATAAAATCGTGCTAAATTAAGTTCGTGTACACGAAGAGTTTGTCTTTGGGATATATTAATTGTCAAATTAAACGGTGCATCAAATACATACAATCGAAAATTTATTTATATTCATTTTAGGACAAAATTCCACCCCACATTCTAAATTTTATTGAAATTGGAAATAGGGTGTTTGGTGCATCAAATACATGAAATCGGACGAAAATGTATGTGAAAGCTATATCCAAATCTGAACCGATTTCAATATAATTTTGTGCTTCTTTGTACCGAATTCCGTTACACATTCCAAATTTCATTGAAATTGAAGATACATAGCTTGCTTGGTGCATTAAATACATAAAATCGGCTATAACATTTATATGGGATATATATCCAAATCCGAACAGATTTCAATACAATTTGGCGAATTTATTTTCTGATCAAATCCATCACTTATTTTAAATTTCATCTAACTCGGAAATACATATCGTGTTTGATGCATCATATATATGATATCGTCTGAAAATGTATATGGGTGCTATATCAAAATCTAAAATTATTTCAATATAATTTAGCAAATTTATTTTCTGATCAAATCCCGTCACTCATTCCAAATTTCATTGGAATCGAACGTACATACCATGTTTGATGCATCAAATAAACGAAATCGCTCGAAAATATATATGAGAGCTATATCCAAATCTGAACCGATTTCAATATAATTAGGTAAATTTATTTTTGTACCACTTGTTACAAATTACTTTAGAATCGAATATCGATATTCAAAATCTGCCGAAAATATATTTGGGAGATATATCCAAATCTGAACCGATTTCAATATAATAATTTGGCAAATTTATTTTCTGATCACTCGCACCAAATTTTATTGGAATCGAACATATATATCGTTTTTGATGTTTCAAATTAACGAAATCGGTCGAAAATATATTTGGGAGCTATATCCAAATCAGAATCGGAACTGGAGGTACCTCCGATTCTGATGCTATATCTCCAGTTCCAAGTGAAATTGTAAAAATGTGTATATCCTATGTTACTTGCAGGCGGTGCTGTAGTATATATGGAAATTTTCAGGAAAATTTGTTCAGCATTTTTTGAGTCTATAAATTACAAATAGACAAACATTTTGCTCTTTTATAGACATAGAAGATAACAAGACCAAAATATGAAATGTTTCTAACAATCATTTATATATACTTTTGTACTTAATTCTCCATTGTATTATTTTCCATTTTTTGCAAATCCAAAAAACTCACAAGAAAAAATATTTAAATACTCTGTATAATAACGATGCATTCTTTGAACCATCAGTGTAAACATGAGACAAATGAATTTGTTTATTTGGTTTTTGTTTAGTTTTTCAGGTTGTTATTTGTATTGTTGGTATTGTTATTGTAGAATCTATTTTATTAGTATTCTTGCAGGGTCAATGCTTACATATGTAATTTGACCAATACAAATGCAATTATTATACACATCTTCTCTTCTTCTTCTAGATATACCTGCATAAAGTTAAATTAAAGTTGTTGTTGTTGTTGTTGTTGTTGTTATTCTTCTACTGTTCAGCCTCCATCCCATACATTTGAATATACACAGTGTTTCGTTAACATGACGTCGATCTGAAAAAGCCACTCAAAGTTGTTGTTGTACAACGTACTTTGTTCAAGTGCTACAGGACATTTAAGTGAATCCTCGATGCAAGTGTAGTAATTGACATAGTTTCATTAGTACGGCCGTTGTGGTTAGAAGACGCAGTAGCATTAAAGTGCTGTTGCAGTGGTGGCCACACCGTTGATGCAGTCCTGTCGACGAACTGCGAACTGTAAATAAAAGTTAAACATAATAAATTAACTTGACTAATAAATTAATTGCAATTAAAAGTTTTAAATGCGTACATGTGTGTGTGTGTGGGAGTAAACATTTCGCCGTGTTGTGTATTCGTGTGGTACGCCTGTGGAAACAGGTGTGAGTGTATGTGTGTAAATAACATAGAAATGAGGTTGTGTGAAAATAACAACTTATTATATCTTATTATTTGAATAACTAAATTGTGGTCAATTATGTTTTCAAATCATTTATAAGATGCACGTACAAATGTTCCCATTTGGGGTTTGTACTTTTAACGAGTAGCAAAAGTGGATGTGGTTTTTCATGGAATTATAATTTACCCATGAAACAGAATTCATTAATATTTTAATATTTCCAGGTAGGGGTGTGAAAGATGAATTAATTAATTGTGTATCCTACTCCACGCTGCATGACAACAAGCTCATGTCACTCTTAGCTTGTTTCACTTTGCGTTAATAGTATTCGATTCCACCACTATGATTTGCGTTAAAGTTTCTATGGATATGAAACCCTTTTGACCAGTTTAATCGAATTATTCAAGATAACGAAATATAATTTGGATTATTTAAAAAAAATTATCCCAAGTATTAAGGTTTTTTCTCCAATTTTATACATGTGTTATCTCCGTTTTATTTTTGAAATAACGTCACAAAGTTATGCATAAGGATAACATTTAGTGCTAATTGCAATATATTAGTGTTCTATGTGGTGCTACTTAGAGTTCAAAATAATAATCGAAAATTTATATTCCTCTATGTGTTATGCTATATCTGAAGAAATGTTAGCAGGTGAATGTACCTAATAGACCCCTTAATGTGATTCCAAAATGGTAGATTTTAGTTTGTCTTAACCTAAATTCGGTTAGACTATAATTATGATCTGTAAGTTGACTGCAAAATCAAAAAATATATATATATTTTGGTTCATAAATCAAACTCCATTATCTGCCAATTCCTTCTGTTACCTCACCCAAAAGCGTCACAATTTCCAATAATTACACCTGCGAAACAAGTCGGCAATTCGATACAACTTCTAATATATAATTATTTCTCTTAACCAGTATTGGAATTCTTTAACTAACTTTTTGAGTTGATGACAAAAGTCGGTAAAACTAACATGTATGTAATTTCGGTAATTTCCGAAATTTGTCGGTAAGTCAGCGACGAAATTTAAGCAGTGGGTAAGACCTACCGACAGATAACAATGTTTTCAGCTTTAACTTCTTATTTATATCCAAATGTTGTGCCTCAAAGTTGCCGATTTTTGTCGAAACTTAAAAAAATGATTGGATTTCAAAACAAAAACGTAAAATTTAGATTCCTGTATATATTATGCGATATCTGAAGAAATATTAGAAGGTGAATGTACCTAATGGACCCCTTAACATTATCCGATGTGATTCTGAAATGGTAGATTTAAGTTTGTCTTAACCTAAATTCCGTTTCGATTTGACTGTTATTATGATCTGTAAACTGACTGCAAAATCACACAATATATATATATATATATATATATATATATATATATATATATATATATATATATATATATATATATATATATATATATATATACATATATATATATATATATACATATATATATATATATACATATATATATATATATATATATATATATATATATACATATATATATATGAATCATATATGTGAAATAACAACTTATTATATCTTATTATTTGAATAACTAAATTGTGGTCAATTATGTTTTCAAATCATTTATAAGATGCACGTACAAATGTTCCCATTTGGGGTTTGTACTTTTAACGAGTAGCAAAAGTGGATGTGGTTTTTCATGGAATTATAATTTACCCATGAAACAGAATTCATGAATATTTTAATATTTCCAGGTAGGGGTGTGAAAGATGAATTAATTAATTGTGTATCCTACTCCACGCTGCATGACAACAAGCTCATGTCACTCTTAGCTTGTTTCACTTTGCGTTAATAGTATTCGATTCCACCACTATGATTTGCGTTAAAGTTTCTATGGATATGAAACCCTTTTGACCAGTTTAATCGAATTATTCAAGATAACGAAATATAATTTGGATTATTTAAAAAAAATTATCCCAAGTATTAAGGTTTTTTCTCCAATTTTATACATGTGTTATCTCCGTTTTATTTTTGGATAACATTTAGTGCTAATTGCAATATATTAGTGTTCTATGTGGTGCTACTTAGAGTTCAAAATAATAATCGAAAATTTATATTCCTCTATGTGTTATGCTATATCTGAAGAAATGTTAGCAGGTGAATGTACCTAATAGACCCCTTAATGTGATTCCAAAATGGTAGATTTTAGTTTGTCTTAACCTAAATTCGGTTAGACTATAATTATGATCTGTAAATTGACTGCAAAATCAAAAAATATATATATTTTGCTTCATAAATCAAACTCCATTATCTGCCAATTCCTTCTGTTACCTCACCCAAAAGGGTCACAATTTCCAATAACAAACAAGTCGGCAATTCGATACAACTTCTAATATATAATTATTTCTCTTAACCAGTAGTGGAATTCTTTAACTAACTTTTTGTGAGAATTACATCATAATATATAGTTATAATTATAATTTAAAATCCAAAGGAACGAATATATGAGAGGAATAACCTTCTCTGAATCGATTTCTACTAACTGTGCCGAGGCATTTCTGCCTTTACAATTCGGGTTTATATTACCCATTTGGTGCACAATTAACTTGAAATCGGATACATATGGGAGCAATATCCAAATCTGAACCGATCTCGATAAAATTTGGTAAAGATATTTCTGAGCAATTTTATTTGATATATTTCCCCGAATATCGTCGTTACATAGTGCATATTACGGCTGTGGAGAACAAATATAACAAATTGGATGAACAATATATATGGAAGCTATAGCTGTATCTGAACCGATATTAACCAAATTTTAAATAATAGTTTCCAGATTCAATTTGGTTGTAAGAAGTAAATTCCATGCTATTTGGGCTGGTATTACACGTTTGGTGCACCAAAAAAGCAAATATCAATAGGGTTCGTCCTTGGGCTAAACAAATAACTTGTACAAAATTTCATCTGGATATGGCAATATGTGACCTGTACCTGTACATAAACAGACGGACGGACATGCATAAATCGACTCAAACTGTGATTATATGCAGATCATCAAAAGGAACTATGGGTATATCTTGTTCCCTTTTAACTGTTACAAACAAAAACACAAAGACATAATACCCTGACCTGACTTTGTGGTGTAGAGTACAAAAACGAAAATTTTCACAAAACCGCGAATATTTTTAATCCCAGCGAAATCACAATTAATAATATTAACAAAATAATAATAATAATAAATAATAATAAATAATAATAATAATAATAATAATAATAATAATAATAATAATAATAATAATAAAATTTTACTTCTTACAATGATACTGATAGCCAAGATATCGGATACATATCAAAATATGTACAATCTATATGCAAAATAAATTTATATTAGCTATTCCGTTCATAAGTCTAAAACCTCTCGACTGTTTTGAAAATTCTCGGAATGGCCTCTGGCCCAAAAAGGATAATATCTAAGAAAACCACGCAAAAATATGCCAATAAAAATATTGAATGAATATTTTTTGTCAAAAATTTGATAAAATTTCCTTATATTTGACTTACAATTTTGATTTGTAAATTTTTTTAATTTTAGTTACACCCTGCAACACTATATGTTGAGGTTGCAAATATCGTCCGATTTTCCCAGGTTAGGGTCATAATATAAGCCTATTGTTTTGAAGATGTATATTTTGGGGTTCAAATGGACCGAAAAATTAAAATATTCCTGATTTTGCAGTCGCTCTACGTATAACAATTGAAAACCAATCGACACAGAATTTTGCATGAATAGAGAGAGAGAGAGTTAAGGACATGACAGAAGACTAGCATTAAGGAAATTGTTTTTTATGTGAAATTGTCTTGAATACCAATTAGCCCGACAGATAGGTAAATGTAGGACAATTCCCCAGTCAAATGATCGGCCTGGCACGACTATAACCTTTGCTTACTTGTTTCAAAGTTTTTTTTTTTTTTTTCGCAAAAGTTTCCAAGTCAAACAAGTAGGCAAAGGCTATAGTCGTGAGGGGCCGACCATGTGATACCCTACAACACCACAATATGTTCAAAGTCCCATTATATCAAAATCCATTTTGGATGATTTCATTTTTGAAACTATGTCAAGAGCCTGCCAAGAGGTTGCCCTTAGTTTTTTGACCCGGAGAATTTGGCCAATATTTACGCACTTCGTAGTTTTGTTAAGTATTCAATACAATTTCACACGAAAGTTGTGATTTTACAGCTAAATATAATCCAATGTTCATCAAAAATGCTAGATTTTTTCCCTGTCCTTAACTCTCTTCTGATGCGAAATTTCGTGTCGATTAGTTTTCAATTGTAGCCTATAGATCGACTACAAAATAAGAAAAAAATATTTTTTTAGACCATTTGCACCTCTAAATATTAAGAACAATAGGCTTTAATTCTGACCCTAACCCTACCTCCATGCACCATTTCGTGAAGATCGGACAATAATTGCGATATGCATATAATACCCTCAAAACGTAATGTTGGGGGTGTAAATTAGAAAATTTGCAATTCAGAACTTTAAGTCAAATTGAAAAAATCGCATGCGATAAAAATATGACAAAATTTGAAAAAATCGACAAAATATATTCACTTTTTTATTGATATAGTTTTTTCGCGATTTTCTTAGATTTTATCCTTTTCTGGCAAGAGACCATTTCGAATTGAAGGGAATTGTGAAGATCGGCCTAGCGGTTCTTGATTTATAAGCAGAATAAATAAGATTAATTAATTTACATATATATATATTGTACATCTTTTGCTATATATCCGATTTCTTGGCTATCAGCATCACTTTAATGGCCAGAAGTTATCTTTTATTGTATTTGTGATTTGGCTGGGATTGAAAATATTCGCGGTTAAGTGGAAATTTTCACATTTTCTTACATAAAAGTTATGGTCTATTTTACCCGCTAATTATGACCACCCAAATTGGTAGGTTTCTGCCCAATCCTAAACTATAACTCCATGCAAATTTTCGCGTCGATTGGTTCATAATTGTGGTCTATAGAGCAACTGCAAAATCAGAAAATATCGTGCGATCATCTCCAAAAACAATAGGGTTCTATTCTGACCGTAAACCCACCTCCATTTTCAATTTCGTGAGGATCGGCTCATAATTGCGACCTGTAGCTTGATTACAAATTAACATGGACAGACATGGACTCATGAAAAATTCAACGTGGATTGGTTTATAATTCTAACCTGAAGAGCGACCGAAAAATCAGATCGGATTGTAACTCATATTTAAACAGAGGCACATCACTTGAAGTAAGTAGTTATTGCCTGACTATTACAGAGAATAACTATTTGTTTTTTGTACAAAGGAATTTGTTTTCCATTCAAGAAGTATGCTCTTTTAAAAGTAATGGTTGGACACGACGATTTGTAATGAGTATTTGGCACAACTTACGTTTTCACATGGTGAAGCATTGAAAAAGTTCTACTAGGTTAAATCTAAATACATTTGAACTTTTCCATATTCAGTTTTATAAATAGAAATACTTTCCTTTATCACCCTGACAATAAAAAATGTATTTTTATTTCTTATAGATTATTGACAAGATTGCTAGCCTTAATATGGCAAGAGCATTGATTTAGATAGTCCTTTTAAATCCATGTCAATCTCTGTCAAAATGTCATATTTGCTCCTGGTATTTGTCTTCGTCTAATGGAATTAATGCATTTCCATATAATGACCTTTCAATCAACAACGACAAACAAAACAGGACAAACAAACAATATTTATTGTTAGCAACGTATGCTACTTACCCAATAACATGGCCTCCCGATTATCTATTATTCCAGGTCGACGTTGTAAAACACTTTCTTTGTCACCTTTCCACAGAACTGGAGATATGCTGGCAAGACATTTGACGCGCATGGCACCATTCTGAAAGTGACGAGCATCAACTGTCATCTCTAGTCCCAAAGTTGACGTTATGAGGCCATGACGGTGTACCGTGTCATTGTAACGAATCAAATACTGTTCATCGAGGACCTGTAACGGCAGAAACAACAAACAAGCAGACAAATAGAAAAAATGTAAATCATTGTAAAATTGCAGGTGATTGTACGTGTGTGTTTTCGTATTCTTCTACAATGTCAAAGACATGAAAAAACTTAAAAAGTACTACATACTATGCCACAATAGGAGGGCATGGCAATCCCTTATTTCTAGGTACCAAGGAACAATGCTTTGTGTATCGAAAACTTTGCAAAGCACAAACATGTTTTTTCAGTTTTTTTTTTTTTTTTTTTTTTGAATCCATAAAATGCATTAACTAATGGATTTGTAGCAACTAAACAAGAATAAGTCTACGAAAAACAAAGTCCACAGGAACCAAGTCAACTTCAATATGCTTAAAAATAAAAGTAGCTTCAATGAATCAAGGTGTGTACACTAAAGGGAGAGACCCCCAAACCACAAGAAAGTAGTTTTCGACAAAGAAACAGCCGCACCAAGTTCATAACTTGGTTTTTGCTCTGGCGAAATAATTATGTTTTATAACAGGGTACAAAAATAAGAAAACATTCTGAAGTTCAAAGAAAAAGCTGGACACATTTTAAATACATGTTTGCAATTCTACTTTGGATCGATTGAGAATTTGTTTTAAATTTGCCCGAATAGTTATTTGAGAACCTCAAAGATACATTATTGAAAGGAGCTCCCATAAAAATATTCCATAAGATTTAACCTATACGAAATATGTTTCATAGTTTAATTCGAAATATAACGTATATAAGAGGGAGCAAGTTTCCCCAAATTTCATATTAAAAAAAAAAAAAAAAGATTAATATTCATTGGAATCTTTGCATTTCACAGTGGTCGCTGCCATTGGCCAAAATTCAAAAAATGAAAATCAGGTATTTAATGTCAAATGTGTACAAGTGAACTCTTAAGGGGTTAAGCTTTTTAGAAAACATAATAATCTTGGCTTCATTCTAATGGCCCACTTCAAAAATAGCATCAAAAAAGGAAAATGTAGTTAGTTGCTTTTTTCAGTGGGATCGGAGAAAAAGTGGAGTAAAAATAGAACTGTATTACAAAATTAAATACATTTTAAAATGACAAATCTTGGCATTATTATTGAAAAGCACAGTTCATAAAATTTTAATACATGCACCCGACATTATAAATTTGTCATTATATCGATTAGGTAATTATAGGAGGAGGCCGTGGAGTCTAGAAACAAAGATATAAAAAAGCTTCGACTAAATCATACCCGAGAAATGCTCGTGTTTCAACAAACACAGATCTTATTAATCGTCTTCTTCTGAGCTCTGACCTTTTATAACGGGACAGCGAACGTTACCAAACAATAACCATAAAAAAAGTCTTAAAGTCGGGCGGGGCCGACTTCATGATACCCTACACCACTTTGCATATTTAGTAGAGCGTCACATAACAAATAAAGGTTTTAATGGGGAATTTGTGAGAATTAAATCATACCAACTATGATTATAGTAATAATGAAAAGGCCAAAGGAACTAATATATGGGAGGAATATCCTCCTCTGAATCGATTTCTACTAAATTTGTCGAGACATTTGCGCCTTTTTAATTCGGGCTTGTATTATCCATTTGGTGCACAATTAACTTGTAATTGGATAGATATATATAAGAGCTATATCTAAATTTGAATTGGGCTAATATTACACGTTTAGTGCACAATAAAAGGCAAATCGGACGAATATATATATTTGAACCATATCCAAATATTAACAGATCTCGATAAAATTAGTAAGGGTATTTCTGAGTTATATTTGATATATTTCCCCAAATATCGTTGTTACAGAGTGCATATTACGGCTGCGGAGGACAAAAATAACAAATCGGATGAACAATATATATGGGAGCTATACCTATGTCTGAACCGATTTTGATCAAATTTGGCATAGTTATTTTCAGGTCCAATCTGGTCGTACGTATATTCCATACTATTTGGTCTGATATTACAAGTTTGGTGCACAATATAAGGCAAATTGGATGAATATATATGGGAGCTATACCTAAATTGGATGAATATATATGGGAGCAATACCTAAATTTCAATAGGGCCTTAAGTCAAACAAATTATTTGTGCAAAATTTAACTTTGATTTAATTTTACATTAAATTGTTATTTTATTTTGTTTACAAAAAATAATCAAATTTGGACTTGATTTGTATAAAAAATGCTTCTATTTTTGGATGAACCTTTACAGGGGGACTCTACCTGAAGGCGGGCTATTCCAAATAATTTTCAGTAAGATTATTTTTTAACTCCCTAGAACGTAAAATGTCAAAAAACATTACAATCTGGTGTAGAAATGTGACAAGAATTGGGCAATAAGCCTTCGGAAGGTACGTTGTAAGGGGACCATGCCAAAACATGCATCGACCATATCCCTTTTGTCACATTTTTTATTTTTATCCCATCAAGGTACCATAACCAAAGATTCATATTGATACCTGCATTGAAAGTATTTTTGGCCGCTGTCCCCATACGACCTCGACCACTGTGCATTTCAGGTATATAGTGTATTTGCAATAGCAAACATGTGTTTGCTGCATCAAATAAACTAAATCGGTCAAAAATATATATGGGAGCAACATCCAAATCTGAACCGATTTCAATATAATTTGACAAACGTTTTAAATTCAATTACACTTTTCAAATTTTATAGATATTTGAGATATACAGCGTGTTTAATGCATCAAATCCATGAAATCGGCCAAAAATATATATAAGAGCTAAATCCAAAACTGAACCGATTTAAATATAATTTGGCAAATTTATTTTGGTTCAAATTCCGTTACGCACCTCCGATTCTGAATTTCAGAAAAGTATATAGCCTATGTTTCTTTCAGGCCATGTTGCCGTATGCTTAGAAATTTTCAGTAAAATCTGTTTAATGTTAAGAGAAAACATTCGTTGTCCAGCAGTTTGTAAACAAATAAATTGATCGAAAATATTCTGGAGGTTATATTAAGGGACACTCAAACATTTTGGCAGCAGAAATTGGACAACACGCGCCACCCAAGAATGGTTACAAAATGAGGTTAGTCGCTTCATTTCCAGCACACAATGGCCAACAAAAAACTCCGGATACCAATCCGTTGGACTATTGTGTCTGGAGTATTTTGGAAAGCAAGGTTGGCACTAAAAGATACCAAAGTGTCGATCACCCCAAGCAAGCGCTTCGCCGGGAATGGACCAAAATAGCGCAGAGCAACATTCGGGCAGCGTGTTTTTTTTTTTTTTTTGGCCGTTTGAAGGCCATAATTCGTGCCAAAGGTGACCACTTCAAACAAATCTAAACTTCCATTCACTAAATTTAAAAAAAAAATGTCAAAATTATAGCGTTTGACTTTGTTGTATTTTTTTTTTAACTCACTCTCTATGTGTATTTTGTGCGGAAGATACCATGTTCTAATTAAAAATTAGCACCGTCTTATTATTTGTACTAAAATTTCATCATATGGAGAAGTTGGAAGTCATTCGGTTTTTTGACGCATATACCGTTAGAATATATGGATGAGTCAATGTTTACATTTTTTTCTTCAAAATTATCCATTTGACAACATCTCATTATTAAAATGTATATTTATAAATTCATTGTAAATACACATATCAGAGATGGGAATCTGTTTTCTATGCAGTGACATTTCACATTATAAATTACAAAAAATGCAGAGATTGGAATGCTTATTTGAAATGACTTTACCTTCTTAATTTTACCATATATAAGTCTAAGGTATAATTACGAATGCGAAAGGAGTATATGATGTGCAATAAACTCATGAAATCGTTACATTGAAAACATATGCAAATTTTTTCTAAAATGTTTTAATCTATTACGAGTCTCAAATGCCAAATTTAAAGCAATAGTTGAAAATGTGCTACATGCCTGCTACATACTTCAAATATTAAATTTGAAAAAATTCCGTTGGAAAATATGACAAAAATCATCAAAATACCCAGTAACTGGAGGTAAATTATGTAAGGGCTATATGAGAACATGGGCCTATATAGAAATGTTTCTGCGAGAAGAAATAATGGGCATTAGAAAAGCCACAAAACATTCAAACAATTCCACTGGTAAATGTGGCAACAAAAATTAGAATACCGAATGTCGGAAGGTGCCGTTATATGAAGGCTATAGGTGTGTCTGGTTACCCTAAAATTTGTAACAATTGTTACAAATTGTTACGGGAAGTCGTCTGTTAACCCGAAAGTTCTGCAAAAGAGAGCGGTTGGAGAGAGAAATTTTGACAGTTCTTTCAGTGAGAGTTTGCAAATTCTTGCTGGAAAAATTTCTTCTTGCAATCTCTTGCAACTCTTCTTCTTCTCATTCATCGACATTCAATCAGATGTTTTCTATTGTTTATTTATTTCTTTTTGTGATTTTAATTTGAAAATATTGTTTTGGAATTAGCAAGACTAATTGTTTTTGGAGAACATCTTTACAAAATGTGAAAAACGTAAATGTTAATATGTAATAAGAAAATAAAAGACTATTTCCAACATTTTTATTTAAAAAAACTTGTAAAATTAGTATTGGTTCCTTTGTTTTAATTCTCCTTATGGGGGACAAATTGGTTTGTTTTGACAAATCAGCTGATTAGTTGCAAGCTTCTGCAGGAATAGCGTCTGTTTACTTTTCGCATTTTCCTTGCAAAAGAGAATAAAACTACCTCTCAGAAAGAAGTTGCTGGACAATTCCTGCTGGAAAAGTAACCAGACACACCTTATAAGAATAAGTGGAGCTATGTAGACCACATTCTGCCTGATAGGTCAGTATCCGCTAAGGGCTTTCAATAACATATTTGAAGTTCTTTTAGTGCTGTGGAAGCGTTGTACAAATGGCAATTTTGAATTTTCGAATTTCCGAATCATGTATAATTAAGATAAACCACCTATTTGAGTTATTAAGGTTTTTATATCCTTATATATAGTATGAAGGGTATATTAAGTTCGTCATTCCGTTTGTAAATTTTAATAATAATAAGTTTCAAC